AGCGAATAATATTGACACAAAATGGCCATATTTTTTTATAGTGTAGGGAGATCGAAAGAAACAACTGAGGGAAAGAAAAAAGGAACAACCAAGCACCCTCCAACCTCCTACTTAGGATGCAACACAGCAGTTGTTAGGTCATACAAGTGCCGAAAATTAAAGTTAGAGGTGTCACAAGAAAGTAATAAACACATAAAAGGAGGTGAGATGAGGATGAAAGATGCTTGATAGAAAAGAAGGAGCAAACCACCCCAGAGCATCCGCCAACCACTCACGCACATGCTTACGATGCTGCAAGGGGGGGGAGGGGGGATCAACACAATTTCGTACTTTTCCCGGGAAGTAAACTAAATAGCAAATGCCACTCGACAGTTTTATTATGCGTTTTGTCCTTTGCCGCCCGCTGTCAAAAGAATAATTCATCGGATTCTACGAAGTCGTGAGAGAAAAAGCCAGAGTACAGCAAGAAATGGGACCGGGGCTTGAGAAATGATAAAGGACAGTGAGAATAAAGCAATTTAAACCACACACACACACACACACACACACACACACACACACACACACACACACACACACACACACACACACACACACACACACACACATACTACATAAACACACACACGTACACACACACTACATAAACGCACACACGCACACACATACACACACATACCACATAAACACACATACATACATATAGATAGAGAGAGAGAGACAGAGAGAGAGACAGAGAGAGAGAGAGAGAGAGAGAGAGAGAGAGAGACAGACAGAGAGAGAGAGAGATTCTAGTCTTTGAGTTGTATTGAGCGTCCGACAAGCTGCTCCATGATCTAACTTCATAGTCATGTTTTTTGTGCATTTAAAGTACTTGGTCTATTGTTGTTCTTTATACCAGTGTATTTGTTTTTTGACAGTGCGTGTGGTGATATAAGATTGGGGCAAAAACTGTCAGTATTCTCAACAAAATTAGCAGATTTTCAGTTCGCTATGAATGGCTTTGTTTGTTTTTTTGCTGCAATTTTTTCTGCTTTTGTTTGTCGGGGGGGGGGGGTCTCATGCTTGCCTTTCTCATCCTGGATCAGGATACATGCCACGAACAAACACTTTCCCTGTTTCCCTCTACTGGGCTAACCGCTTGATGTTATTCCATGTCTTCCCACTTTTCTGTACATCAATTTCCGTGACTCTTCTCCGGGTTCCACGTGGTCTTCCCCTTAATCGTTTACCCTGTCTGTTCCAATCCAACACTTTCCCTGTTATGCAGCGGCTTGACTTCCTGACAATATGTCCAAATCCATTGACACCCCCTTCTTCCCACCTCATATCTGATTGAGGTTTGTCTCGTTCTCCTTAGTACTTCCTCGTTGGCAACCCTGTCTACCCATCTAATCTTCAGTAATTTCCTTAGACACTTGTTCAAGAAAACCTGGATCATCTTTATATAAGTCTGAGACCCAGGAGGTGGGGGGGTGGGTCTGCTCTACACCAAAACGTGAATGTCAACAACGAAGGAAATCGTTTTATGTTTTCTTGAGTGTCATGTTAACACCGTTCTCAGAGTGGTTTCCATCTCAGCGCTTAACATCAAGCTTGAGAATACGTGTATTTTCACCAGTTCTTGCTGGTGTGTCAGTATACCATCTTTAAAAAACGAGAAGATAGAAAAGTGGTGGGCGGGCGAAATCAAAGGACAATCCCTGTGATGTTTTTAATGTTAATGGTTTTGAAAATATAAACGTCAGCAGAAAACTGGAAAACAGAATCAACAATAATGATTTTATCAAAATCGACCGTCGAAACTTTTTGCGAGAAGTAACACAAAACATCAGAGTAACTTGTCTCAACACCGGTTCCTGTCGCAATAAAGCAGACGAGCTAATTGATTTTATTATTTGAATTAACCTCGATATTTAATGTATCTCAAAATCGTGGTCGCAGCAGCACGGTGATGACGCTAGTTCATCAGGAATATGCCAAGTGGATTATTTGTAAATCTTTCTGACGTGTCGGGCTCAGAGGAGGAGGAGGAGAAGGGGGAGATGGAGGAGAAGATGATTTATTCACTTATAGAACTAAATAAGTTCAGGACTCAGGTTGCTGAGAAAATACTTCCTGTCACTCATGTGAAGCTGCTTTCTTGTCATTCCAGCTGCAGTCCCGAAACATTACCTCCTGCTGCATGTACAGGTCACCACCGAGTAAAGTAGACTGTATCAAAACCAGCCACTTTTAAGGGGGAATTTCTTAATCTAAACTCGCACAAAAAAGTCAAGGAAACAAAATTTTGAAGAAAAATAACTGAAGAACAGAGGAACCGAATTTATTCATTTATTTTTCAAAAAAAGATGCTTTAAACTCTCTATGTTAGGTGTGTACAATTTCAGACTTACACAACAACGAGAAGTTCATGTAAAATGAGTTTAAATCACACTGGTCGGATTTCAAAAGTCTGAACAGCCATAGTTCTTCATGAACATTGTCAATAGTGGGTGTAGCCAGCCCGTTTGACCAAACACTCAGTACAGCGTCGACGCATGGACATGACATTCCTTTCGGAGAACTTGTTGCGGTAAGTTCTGTCACTCCTGGACGAGGCAGCCCAAGAGTTGTTGAAGGTTTTGTGCAGGAGGGTGGTTGTCCCTTCTCCACCGGTCAATGTGATCCCAAATGTTCTCTATTGGGTTCAGATCCGGACTACAAGCTAGTCAGTCCATGCAGGTGACAGCTCGCTGCTGCAGGAAGTCCCCCACGATGCGTGTGCGATGTGGCCTGGCGTTGTCGCCCTGCAGTACAGCCTAGGGTCTAATCTGTTGCAGGAGAGGGACAACAAGGGGACACAGGATTTCCTCCCTGTGCCTTGCCGCGGGCAAATTGCCCTGTATATGGTACAGGGGGGTCTTGTGCTAAGCTGAGAAGCCTCCCCACACCAGAACGGACCCTCCATCGTAGGGCGCCACCTGCTGGATACACTCAGTGAGGAACAGCTCTCCTCGGTGCCTCCAGACGTGAGCTCGCCTGTCTGGGTGGAGCAGTTTGAATCTGAATTCGTCCGAGAAGATTACCTGGTACCACTGACGTCGTGTCCACTGAATGGCGAGCAGACCACACCCGGCGAGCTGCTTTGTGGGGCGGCTTGTGCCTTGGGCGCCTGGCAGGGACACGAGAAGCGAACCTGGCTCTACGGATATGGTTCGATACCTCCTCCTCGCTCTTGTGGAAATTGGCTGCCACCCGTAGTTGGTCCCTGATGTGGTTTGTAGTGGTGGTTCGTGACGTCACGGCCTGTCTGACGATGAGCCGGTCGATGCTGTCGTTTGTCAAACGGGGCGGCCCTGGTTGAGGTCTGTCCTGGACCCTTCCAGTCGCTTGCCATCGTTCTTGCAGCCTCTATATGACTGATGGGGACACCCCAAGTTGATGTGCAACGACTGGGAACGTGGAGCCATCTTGGAGCCAGGCATGGGCTCGTCCTCTGTCGACGTCAGGCAGCGAGCGTCGTTGGACCGTCGTGGTGTAATGGAACATGGCTGAAAAACGCTGACTTATAATTGGTTGCAAGTGAGCGATATTCACAGCTAAGACATCTGTTCAGCACGTGCCAAGCTTAGTTTTAGACTATAAGTCCCTATGCCAATGTTGCTGAAATTTAGCCCATTTTCATGCTTTTCGGTTGTGTTTCAGAATGCCCTGCGCCGTCGCTGTGAAGCTGGTGCGGGGAAAATTCGCTTTACAGGCAAACTGTGTCTAGTCGTCAGAGCGTGTGCCAAGTTCGGATGACTGATCTTAACGGGTTGGCGAGATATTGAAGTTCAAATTTGACAGGTGAAAACACAAGTTGTTCCTTGACTTTTTGGGGCGAGTTTAGTTTCAACTCTGAAGATGAAACGTTCACTATTTATTATAACTGGTGATTTTGATTTTCCCTTCGGCCCCTTGAACTCTGTCACTAAAAAGATATGCAACCTGCTGAAAGAAAAGTATTTAAAACGCCTTTTCCACAAACCAACGAATAAATTAGGTCAGAATTTAAAAATTCTTGATAGGGTAATTTCCCCAGTTGACAATAATCATGTGAAAAGTGTAAACGTTCTGGATAAAGACATTTCGAATCATATTCTTCTGATTATTGATTTGGACATCAAAAGACCAAGGAAAGTGATAGAAACAGTTTATTCTCGAAACCTGAAAGCTATCAATTCACGCCAGTTTCAATGTAACATTCGTCACACTTTAGCCACGAGTTACCCTATCAATATAGAAACCCTCAATACCACCATGAGGAATACTTTCCACGAACATGCTCCTATTATTTTTTTTAATCGAAACTTATCTGATCGTCGTACTGAAAAGTGGTTCAACTTGTAAATGAAGGCCGCAAAAAAGTATTGGATATAATCTTTTTTTTTTATATCTAGTTGTAACGACCAACAAATTTATTTTTTTACCATGATTCAGCATTTACAAAGAAAGTGAACACATGTTATTATTCAAGAATAACCAAGCTTTGTTGTGGTTAAAGTAGCTGTAAACAGCACAATAAATCTTTTTCATCCCAAAAAAATCACACACTCATACGCACATACACACACATATACACATGCACACACACACACACACACACACAAGCGCGCGCGCGCGCGCGCGCACACACACACACACACACACACACACACACACACACACACACACACACACATACACACACACACCACACACACACGCACACACACACACACACACACACACACAAAGAGACGCACAAGAAGAATTTACTCCCTTCTCCACTCTTTCGAAGTCCAGTTTCCTGACAAGAGCGCGCGTGCGGTGTAAGCAGTCCTAGTGATCGACTCTCTCTCTCTCTCCCCCTCTCTCTCGGGCTCTCTCTCTCCCTCTCCCCCCCCCCTCTCTCTCTCTCTCTCTCTCTCTCCCTCCGCCTCTCTCCTCCTCTCTCGGCTCTCCCAGCTCCCTCGGACGCTCACACCACACAACGACAG